AATGACCAAGACCTTTTTTGTATTGCGGAAAATTGTATACTACAATATCATCTTTTGAAAGTTGTAGGTTTATTTTCTTTGAAGATAAAAAATGTATTGCAAAAGATAAAAAATTACTATGTTAAATTTATGTTAACTTCAGGGGGCGTTTGCAAAAAACAAAAGAACTTGCGAAGTAACGGACACCCTAATGTATTACGTTACGCCAGCTCAGAACAATTACATGCCCGAATTAATTTGAATTATAGTAGTCATTAAAAGCTCAAGCGATGACATTTGTTCAAAAGTGTGTGTAAGGTAATTGTCATTACATTATGAATTTAATTTTGTATGAGCAAAGGTGTAGTAGCATGGCTCTCTACCGCATGATCGAAAAAAAATTTTGAATTTGAGGACCAACCAAGGGATGAAAAGAACTCCTGCACCAAACATTACTGCTTTCTCTGCAAAGTCAAGGATTCTTGGCGGACAGCACCCTCTACACCTTTTCAGTAATGCCCTATTGTAATACATAATGTTATTGTAACAATTATTACATGCGGGCACATCAAAGGTAACCAATGGCTCGGAGTTGGGTTGGGATCAAGTTTTAGTGGGAGTCTCGCATGAAATCTGAACTCGGTATTCACGTGAATAATATATTGTTATTGCCGATGTATGTTTGGGAAACTCTGGAGAATTTTGTAACTCGATTTTGCTTGAATTAATAATCAGATAACTGTAGGGCTGACATAACAGATGCTGTTTGCACACAATTCCAAGCATAGCATGAGCTCCTTAAGTGAGAGCGTACAGACTTTTAGATATAGCTGTTACCAATATCACTTCAAAACAGACTCGACAGCTGCACCGGTTTTAGAACATTGATAATCACCTGGCTTATAAATTAAAATAACAATTTTTTTGTTGCTCTTGGTTTTGATCAAGTTCCTGTTTAGTATGCAGACAACATACTCATATACCCTATTTATCTTCAATATTCAGCCCAAACATCAACAGAGACCTAGAGAGCCCCGATAATTGTTTTTTAAGCTTACGAGTGCAGTACACTTTTGACAGTGTTTGAAATAAGTTAGCGGTGGGGATCTTTTTCGACAGCTTTAAAAAGAAAATTTATTTAATTGAGAGTATAAAATGCCACGAACCTGTAAAAAATCTACAAACTGTTTTTGCTCTTACTCTGAAAATAGGGCGAAATGCCATCAACCAAAATCCAAAAGGTATGAACAAGGAAGGGGCAGGTTTTCAATATCTGAAAACAAATTTTCATCGAATCAGTGACGCAAAATTTAAATAAAGTACAATATTTGTATAGATCCAAATATCTGTGAGCTTATGACAGAAGTAAGCTTTTATTTACCCCCAACACCCACCTCCATACAACTTAGACAACTTGCGTCCGAAAGGGAATTTTAAATTTTATCAATGCCTAGAGGACAATGTTCTGTAAGAACCCCTACGATTGCGGCAAGATAAACTTTGTTAAGGGCATGTAGTTCAGAAGATCTCTTGCGTTTTACTGTAGACCAAAAAGATCTTGTAGTCGTCGACCAGCGCCTGCTTAGCGCACGCGAGGTTCATTGATCTAGTGTTAGAACGCAGGATGCCAGTGGAGATCCAACTCGGTTCTATACCAATGCGAGCGGGGCAAGGGTGCCCCCTTTGGCTAGCTCGCCGAATTGATACTATTTATAGTGTGGACCGACACGCTTTGACTAGCTTCGAGCGCACAGTTAGCGAGCTCAGCGCTACTATTGCCGCGACGAGCTGGATCGATTTAGCCATGTCTGTCTGTCTCTACATACGGGAACTAGTCCCTCAGCTCATTTCTCGGAACCGATATCGGACCACTATATCATATAGCTGCCATACAAACTCACCGATCGGATTCGATTTCTTGTATGGAAAATTTTTTTATTCAATAAGGTGTCTTCACCCCAAAGCATTCCTACAAATCTGAATACAGTTTTTTAGATCGGACCACTATAGCATATTGCTGCTATACAAACCGACGGATTAAAATTAAGTTAAGGTGAGTTTGTGATATCTGTTGTTATCTAGAAAGAGACGGTGACTGTAGACTTAAGAATATATTAAATACTAATCTTAATTATACCATACTCATGAAAACATCCATGTGTTACAAAAGCACCAAAGTTGTATGTATGTAAAATAGTAAAATGTAAGTATTTCTGCATAATTTCGGGTCGATTTTCATAACAATCACCTGCTGTCATACTAAGAAGTATTAAAAGCTTTCTCAACGAAGTTATTGCAAACTCACCTTATGTTTCCCCATTCATACCAGTGAATATGTTGCTCCATAAGGTTATAATTAGAATTCTTCAAACTTGTTTTACGTAAATTTATCTCGGTAGTACAACTTTTACAAAGAAAAGGCGAGGCGAAACATTGATGACATCTTTTTATTGTGCACAAGTTTATATGTACATATTTATGTATGTAAATACGAAACGACCCTATGGTCACAAAGGTTCAATTTCCCTTCAAACATATGTACATATATATAATTAATTATAAAATACTCAAATATGCATTGGCCTAGGCAAAGTGACAATACAATAATCGAGAACTTTTCACAAAACACTGGAGGACTAATCAAATTTTCAGCTGAAAACTAAAACAATACTTTTTAGGGTTCCAAGCAAGGCCGGGTGAAAGTTTATATATGCAAGTAAACTGTTTTGCAACTATACGTGTAGGGGTGTGCATATACAAGCAAACATGTGTACGTAAGTACATATTTTTTTCGCATATAATAGAAGCTCTAAAGATTTTATAAAATTACACACATACACCAACAACAATGCTTAAAATAAACCATGTTGTTGTTTTTTGTGCAAATCTTTTGCAAATGCGATTATGAGACCCCGGAAACAGTAGAATATTGGGCAAAGGGAGTGCGTTAGGTTGAAGAAAAGCAATAAACAATGTATACGCGTATGTGTGTGAAGCAAAACTTTTGCAACTACACCTTGTTATGTCAGTACTGACGGACAGTTTACTTGTCAACTTTCCCTTGTGAAAGGTTAAGGATACACCTTCAGATACAATTAATGTTTCTTCAGGTGTTCCGCAAGGTAGTCATCTTGGCCCGATTATGTTCTTGTTGTTTATTAACGATATCTCTTCAATAATAGAATTCTCAAAAATTTTGTTATACGCTGACGACGTAAAGCTTTTTAAATCATACACTTCAACTGAAGAAAGGTGTCTGTTGCCAACAGACTTAAACAATTTGGTTGCATGGTGTGATAGAAATGATTTGCCATTGAATCTCAATAAGTGTAAGACGATATGCTTTTCCCGTAGATCTGTGCACCCCTCTTCTTCTGTAATAAAACACCATATTATGGAGCAAGTTTTTAACTATGTTGATTTGGGAGTTAATATGGACCTTAAGCTTAATTTTAGTCTTCATATTAATACGATGGTCTTGAAAGCAAAAGCTGTCCTTAGTTTTGTTAAACGTTGGTCTAAAGAATTTAGAGATAATTTATTCTTAGTGAAAATTTTGAATGGAACAGTTTGCAGTTCTTTTCTCCTGTCTGAAATTAAATTTAATATCCCGGTTCGCCTTTCGAGGCAGTTTAGACCTTTACTGCTAAAATTCTGTAGATCAAATTTTGAACTAAACGAGCCATTCCGCCGTATATGTCATGATTTTAATTCTCATTCCAGCACATTTGACTTATCTGACTCACTTTTCAAAATTAAAAAGACTTTATTGTTTTCTCTTAATAAATGAAAATGTAACAATTTAACTTTAAATCTTGGCTGTTGAAATTTTTGTTTCTGTAGCTGAGCAGTTTTAGATCTCAACACTTAAAAAACTCTCTTGCCTTTTCTGACTCGGCTGATTCCGCACGTATGCGGATTGCGCCCCTCGCGTCGATTGGGCGGGAGGAGGTAATCGTTGGGTTATTATTATTATTATTAACGGTCATAACTGACAAATTGCAGCTATGATGACTTTATGGCCAGCAATGACTCAGAAAAAGACATGAGAGTGAGCAGTATAGATATATATAATCAATTCCGAATACCCATACGTTAAAGAGAGATGCAAACTCACTCACATACGTTTGTTTACAACAGTTTTTGCACAAGGCTCTTAAGAAAATGATAGAAACCTTAATCTGCGCGCTGACAAGATTTTTTCAGCTGTGACTGTCATATGACCAATCAGATGACTGTCACTGTTCTTGTAGGGTAGCTGCCGTCAATTTGGAGACACACGCACGCACACACTCATTTCAAACCCAGAAGTTTAAATAAACTTACGGTTTTTAGAAACATTCAACCCACACCCAGGGTGCGAAGGAGTCAAAACACCACAACAGTTCACACACACATATGTACACATATAAAAACAAAATTTTGAGAATATCTTTTATTTATGTTTATTTTGCTTCTACAACAAAAAATAGCAGTGTGAGAAGAGATGCAGCCGGTTAAGTAAATAAATAAATAGTAATTTGTTCGTTTGTATATGCAACGTCTACGCGTTGTCTCAATCGTGCAATCGAGGCGCTAAAATACATTCTCTAAATCGGTATACTCACTTTAAACCACAAATGTTAGATTTATATTTTTGTTCACAAAGTCGAATTAGTTGCTTTAATCTGCTATATTTTAAACTTGCACGAAACCTTTTTACTTGGACGAACATTTTTCTTTTTCGTTAAATACCCGTTCACATACGAAAAAAGCAAAAAGTGAAAGGATAAACATCATGACCGCGGTCCCGTGCAAAAACTACAACTGTTCGTACATACAGTGCTCTCTGCTGTGTATTTGAGTATTTTATTCGCAAATTTCTTACTAAATACTTAAGTTGTATTCTTTCCTGCATTTCTACTTTAAGCACTTTTGATTTTCGCTAAGTGCTTTCGCTACTCCTTAAGTACATATATATGTACATAAATGTAAATATGTACGGTTAAATATGTATGTGGTAATCTGTTACTGTTACTTACTGCCATCGCTGTGGGCTACACCCTCACGCAATAGGAAGTAGCGCAGGCCCTCCATTGTGTAAGTTTTGGCTGCCGCAACCGGATCAACCACATTTTGCTTACTTTTCGACATTTTTTGCCCATCTACTGTCCAGTGGGAGTGTACGAATAGCTGATGTGGCGGTTCCAACCCTACAAGAAAAAATCATTTAATAATCTCAACAACTTGAAAACTTAAGTATCGCAGCGAATTAAGTATATAAGCCAAAGTGGGATAATTAACTGTAAATATGTTGTGAAAAACGTTGAAAGTAATAACTAACTTTGATATAGGTACATAATCTAATTGGTTAAATACTATGTTTTTAAGAGCTTTGACTTTTGGAGCCAAGGGTACAAGTTGTCAAAACTCAACATAGCAGATATATTATGATCATTGCTTTTTACACATTTTGGCCACCTTTTTGGCAATTTGTGGATACCATGCGTATAGAAATGTTTGCCTTTCGAAGCAAACCAACTAGACACCCATTTGTCGACTTCTGCTTAGGAATTGAAGTGCTGCTCACCCATGTATCGATGTAAGCAAATTGTATATGGGCCAAGTCTGGTGAATTGTCGTGTAACAAAATTCCTTTGTCGTGTCTTCTGGCCAATTCTATGCGTTTTTCGACAATGTATGGTTCGAATTGATCATTTGTTGTCTGTAGCGATTAGTATTAACAGTTTTACTAGGTTAGAAGCTCATGATATACCACACCTCTCTAATCTCACGAAGAACAGAGCTTTGCCTTCTTACCGAATCGATCTGTTCTTGCAGTCCATGTTGACAACATTGCCTTAGATAATAACTCGAACTACATTTTTTGAAGATATCTCTTCAAGTCAAAAAGCTTTCCAGACAAGCACTTTATTCCGATCGTTTGTATGGCAGCTATATGCTTAAATTGTCCGATAAATGGGCAGCTTCTTGGAGAGAAGAGATCGTATGCAAAATTTCAGATCGATGTCTCAAAAACTGAAGGACTAGTTCGCGTATATATAAACGGGCAGACCGACAAGCGGACGCACAAACGGACATGGTTAAATCGACTCAGCTCGTCATGCTGATCATTTATATTGATTGATCTCCGATGCAATTTTCAATATTTACAGTTACATAATTTCCTAATTGTGATATCATTATAGTATCACTAAATTCCCGATTATTGTTCCGTTACCTGCAGCAATAAGAAATGCGGGCCAATATATGCCATGGAACTTTAAAATATCCTTTCCGATCACTTGTACGCTTGGTGGCCACCATCTTCGATACTAAAAAAAAAGCAAATGCAGATATGTTAGAATTAAGGCTATGAATATATACATATGTGTATATGTACAAAGATAGGTCCTTGGGTACACTTTACTCACTTTTTCATGAGGATAACCAGCAGATGTTAAATAATTTATGAGAGCATCCAACCACACGTAAACCGTTTGTGATTGATCGTCTGGAACTGGAATAGCCCAATGCACGCGATTTGCAGGACGTGAAACAGAAACGTCTGGCAGTGGTTCACTTAACATATCTAAAAGAATTTTTTCAAATTTAGCAGGACGTATGCGACTACCCTGTTTAACCCAGTAGAGAACCTCATCTTGTAAGGCTGATAAACGAAACATATAATTAGTTTCTTCAGTCCATTCAACAGGATGACCAGATTCAAGCGAAAAGCGCGCACCAGCCGCAGAGTCTAAACGTAATTGTGTATCTGTAAGGAAAGTCTCATCCGAAACGCAGTACCAACCACTGTAGGCTGCAGAGTAAATGTGTCCACGTGTGTGCAGAGTGCGCTGGAAGTCAATCAATCTCATTGATTATCGATATAGATTAATGTTTCTAATACACACCCAAAAGTGGGACACAGCCTGCTTATGACGTTCTTCCGTCGTGCGTATAAAGTCTGTGTTGGTTATACCAGCCATTCGGAATAAATGTCTGTACCGTGCTGAAATGTCGTCACAATATTGTTTAACTGGCAAATCTTGCGTTGCTGCAGCTTGTTGGATTTTTGTGCCATGCTCATCAGTGCCAGTGCAAAGATGAACTGATTGCTCAGGTTGTTTCAAATGTTGGTAGCGACACATTGCATCAGATATCACAGCAGAATAAAGATGTCCAATGTGGGGCGCTGCGGTTTAAATCCAATGATAATATTTTACTTCTGCTAAGAACTTTTTGATATACTAACCAGCATTAACATAAAAGATAGGCGTTGTTGCATAAAAATCGTGGCTGACTAGTACGCAGAAACGACGCATGGCGTTCAATTTGTTAATAAACATTATATTTTGTTACAAATTGCTACATTTAATTCAGTAATTTTCACTATGGATATAAATTGAGTAATCAAAAACGTGCAGTGTGCCGGTCCTTTATTTACCATTTGTCAAACAGCTGTTCTTTATTTATATAGTCAGGACACAAACCGCCAAACCTGAAGAGTTGCATTTTTTAGTATCAAACAATTCAAAGGCGTTATAAAAGTAGAGTATGGAAAGGCAAACATAGAGGTTATCTTCGATTTTAAGTGAGACAGAAAATATCTCGTAAGTTGTGAGCAATTATGTTATGCCGAAACAAATGTTGATCTTATAGCCTGAACAAGGTATATGAAGTTTGTAAGACCGAGTAATAATCGTCGGATACATTACAAAATGTATTCATGTAATGACTATCGTGTCGATCTGAATCGATCTTGCCTTTTTATTTATTTTTTTTTTTTGAGTAGGGGGAAGCAGCGGAAGCCTTTGTGATGAACTTTAATCCGCTAAACCTAACCTACTCCCAACTCATGTTTCTCGCACGGAACCACCGGATTAAGTATTACTTCATGGAAGAGAAAAGGACATTTAAGTCTCCTCTACGGTACAGACTGACTGACTCCTAATCTGTTATAATCATCTCAGTTTTGTCATAATTCAGATAATAAATCAGAAGGCTTACACATATCTGCTGTCAAAGTTCTACCGCCGAGTGTAGATTCACGTCCAGAGTTATTAGCGAACAATACTTTTGTGTCGATTTAGGTTTTGAGATTTCGATCTGAAATTTTGAGGGAACTTCTAGGGAAAACTTTTATACTTGACAGGATATCTTCATAAAGTTTGGCATAAAAGAAGACAACGTTTTAATCCCCGGACAAATTCTTCAGATCGGACCACTAAGGCGATATACTTGTAGATATAAAAAGCAAGTTCTTGTATGGAAATTATGGTGCAACCGAATTGGAAATTTTTTCTTGTTTTTATAATCGAAAGTGAGTTTGCGGAAATTATACCCTAGGCTTACGACTCAGTTGAATTGAAATAAAAGCAATTCAAATAATAAGTGGGGATTATACAGGTAAATAAAATGTAAATAAACTTCAGACGAAAAATTCAGTCAATGTAATTTATTTATTTTTGCGAAAGAGAGAATGAATGATAAAATAGAATTTAATTTTTATTTAGACTTTAGATCAAAATTGACCCAGACGAGTACATTTACTCTGCGCGCGCAAACCGAATCGATAAATATTTTTTTTCTACATTGGCACAGGTAGCTTGTTTAATTGTTAGTGTGTCTTGCACCTTGATTTACACCATGAAAAACATTTAACAACGAGTTTGCCTGAAATTTTTTGTTTCCAATGGAATCATGGTAACGGAGTTTTGAAAATGTTACAGAAGTATTCTGAGAACACAAGTATTTGAGTGACACAAAGCATTCTTCGAAAAGTTCAACGAGTTGTCTATTAACCTTTAATAATGACGGTGATATCGAAAATCATAGTATTGGAATTAGAGAATCTCAACCTCTATTATGGATCGACATTTTAATTAATGTTTTGGTCAACTTACTTTAAACTGTTTATATAGGTCAATATGTTTAAATTTTTAATTAAATTTGTGGACATGCTTTGTTAAACATTATGTGAAATGAAACATTGGAGACCCTTTATCAGCGAACTGAGTCGATTTAGCCCGTCTGTCCGTATGTATACCCGAACTACTTAGTCCTTAAATTTTAGAGCTATCGATTTGAAATTTTTGCAAACGCTCTTCTCCTCAAGAAGGTGTTGATTTTAGGGAACCGCCGATATCTGACCACTATAGCATATAAACTGAACAATCAATATCAAGTTTTTGTTTAGAAAACTTTTTTATTTGACAAGATATTTTCACGAAATTCAGCAACGTAGTTGCTATAAGAAATGCACTTGTGAAGTATTTATAGCTACTTTTGTAAAAATTTGCCCGCTTTCCATTTCTTATTAATAATTAACTACATAATGTTCTTTAATCTAGCAGTTCTTGGCTTTTGATGTCGATAATATCAAATTTCAAAACTTCAACTCAAAGGAATTGAATTGTAAATCGTAATAGGATTATAGATACCTCCTTAATCGACATGGAGATGTCGAAATAGTCGATCATATAACATCGGATCAATGAATACATGTAGTAGAAAGTGCTTCTAAATTTCATTTAATTGAATGTCCATCGCAAAATGTACTAAACATCACGTTTGTATATATATACATATATAAATCGTAAATACTTATTATCCCCACACAATAAGCTAAAAAGTTGTGTCAACTTTAAACATCTAGATAAATATAACACTCAATAAATGAAAGGAGCCGCAATTTAGTTACATTAAGTTTTATGAAAAAGTAGTTTATTTGTGTCATCACTTTTGTTGTACCTAATTATAATTAATATACAATTTCACTTTTCATAAGTATTTATAATTTGTATTATATTTTGTATAGCTATATTTGCGTTTTTTACTTTAAATAACACAATTCATTAACTTTAAGTCTAATAGTAGATTATAATTTAAATATGTATGCTTGTATGTATAATTAATTTTGCAATTTTTCAATTTGCATGTAAAGCAAAATTTTTCAATGCGCACAAGACACTCAGATTGACATTTAATTACTAGCAAAACGCATACATTAAGAAATGTGTCTTAATTTAGTTTTGATATAGTCAAGTATGTATATGGGTACGTATGTGTGTGTGCATAAGTTTTGCATATTTCTAATCTAATTGCAGTTTAATTGCAAAAATGCTTGCAAATTCAGATAATTTTATTAATTTAGTAAGCTATGCGCATTTTATACGCATAGGAGGAGTTTAAAGGGGTACTTTTTTTTGGAATAAACGAACAAAATTTTTTTGTGTTTCATTTTAGGTTGTTTTGAATGTACACGCAATTGACAATTAAGTTGTGAATATGAAAATATTTGTCTAGTTTCAACAAACTCTTTCAATTTACTAATATTACTATACATAAATAATGCAGTTACTGCTTTCATTTGATATACTTGCACATTTATAACAGCGAAAGAAATCTCAGTGCACTTTATGATTTCTTTGGCTTCGTTTTTTAGTTGAACATATAAAAAACAGTTTGTTATTAACATTAACATAAAAAAATTAGATATTAGGTCCGTTAGCTTTTTTGAGCACATTGCAGCATTAGCTGTTATTATAGTCGATGTTGAAAGGAGGGTAAAATGCTACCAAAGTTCATTGTTGTGGATTCTTAAAATAAGATAGTAATACTCAGTAAAAGGAAAATATACAGCAACTAACGCAACATTTTAATATTTTTTATTATGTGTGAAATTACTTCTTCAACCGAAGACTTGGCACAATGTAAAAGCAAATTACGAAAGTAATGGATGTTGTTTACATGTAAGAAATTGTGTAGGCTCCCGGACTCTTAATATGCTAATTTGGGGCCAAAAAGAGACATTTTTTTGTCGGTATTATAAAATTAATAACTTTTTCCTAAACAGGCAGTGCTTTCAATACTCTTCTTACTTCATTTATATTATATGAAGTGGAAGCGATAAGGTAGAAAAATAATATTTTTCTTTAAAAAATATTTTAATATCTTCTCGCGGAACACATTAATACATTTCTTACACTTATTCTACTTATTTGAGATTCTTGAAAATAAAAATTCCCATGCTTGTATGCCAATGTTTATTTCAATTAACAATATTATTTACAAAACTTAAGCTAACGATTCAATTTATTATCATAAAGCTAATACACACAAATTTGGGGTCAAAAACATTTCGTTCTACATAAAATAATTTAAAAAATGAAATTTTAGCATAGCTTTAGGTGCACTATATCCGTACAATATACAATACATACATACATAAATACAACTACAACGAATTAGTTCGACGTTACAATATGCCAAGGAATGAATATCACTTTTGAATTGATTTAGTTTATCTCTCGTCTCAATTTTTATAAATTTTGCATACTTCGTTTAAATTTCATTACAATAGCATTTATTGTACATTATCGCATTAATTATAGTATGGCGCAAACAACCTTAAAATACTTCGGTCGAGCTCCCAGTGCCTATTTATAGAACAATAGTATTTTGAAAATATTTCTTCGCTTTAGACATTCAAACTTAGTAAATATACACGCATAGAATAAATATCAGTTTGGTATGTGTTTTATGGAGCATTTGAAAGAAATCAGAGCAAATGCATCAAAAAAGCAGCCATAGGAAAAATAATGAACGCACCATCCTTTTTACTTTCTCACATTGGTTGTCGCACCCTTTTCGAAGCGTTGCGTCAGTGAAGCAATGTTTCCTGACTTTACGGTGGGCGCCGTTCGCGGCGTACCGGTAGCTGCTAAGCGCGCGGCTGTAGCGCTAACAATGGGCGCGGGCGTCACTTTCTTTTGACTATTGAATGAGGGTTTCGTAGAGAGCGGTTTTGGTTTTGTGATTGTGGCGGACGGCAATGCCGTGCTGTTACTGCTGTTTGTTGTCCGTGTTGTTGTTGTTGAGTTTGCAGCGGCAGGTGTTTTACCGAAGGATCTGTTTCTTGTCGTCGCAGCATTTGTGCTGGTGCTATTACCGCCGCTGAGGCGATTGGCGGCAGTTGTATTGTTCTTGTTGGTTGAGGTTGCGACACCAACTGCTGTGGTAGCTGCGCTTAAGCTAATGGGCTTAAAGCTAGAGAATGCTGTGGAGGACGTGAGATCAGCACGTGTTGGCGCTACTCGCGCAACAGGCGCGTTCACTGGCGCTGGGCGCAAATAAGTAGGCACAGTCTGCGCTGTAACTGTAGTTGCGGTTGCAGACGGTTTCATTGCTTCCGTTGATACATTGGCGTCATGATTTGTGCTAACACTGTTTGCGGCATTTGCTTTCGTTTTCACATCTGCGACTGTATTTTTTACTTCTTCCGCTGATTGAGGTTTGTTTTTTACCAGCGTTGACGCGCTGTAGATTGAGTCGCCATTGCGCTTTTCAATTTCATTCACAATCTCACCAAGCAGACCCATGTCAGTGCTTTCATTGATGAAATCGCTTCGTTTAACAGTTTGTGCAGCGGGCGGTATTTCGTCAATGACGGAGTATATATTATCGGTTGAAGTGGGCGAATCCGCTTCAATCGACTCACCTACAGTGGGCAGCGGCTGTTCGACAAACTCACAATCATCATACGCATTCTCCACGTTAGATTTGGCAGTGGCAACAGGCAGTGCGTAGCCAGAGGAAGTTGTCGAATTGGTTTTCTTTAGCGGTGGTGGGCGTGGCGGTGGACTTTTAGGACGGGAAGCCGCCGCAGTTGCCGCTACGCTCTTTGGTCGTGCACTACCTGGCGCGTAACGCATCGAACCGAATGTCTGTACGTTGGTTTTCTTGGTTGGAGAACGCATAGACTGTGCGCGCTTTACTAAATTTTTGGTTTCCTCCTCCTTAGGCGTAGTCTCTGAGTCCGAATTGGATGATTCTCCTTGCGGCGCCACTGGCATTGGTGCTGATATCTCAATATTTTTTAACTTCTCGCGATCGATATAGGTCTTTTCCTTCAATGGTGCCCTCTCCTCCTTCTTCAGAAAAGATGCAATACGCCTTATGGTACCATCGCGTTTCACATTTAGCTTAGGGTCTGAATGTAGAGGCACCGGCGGAGGTGGCGCGGGGCGCGGTAACGAACCGGATTGACTGGCACTGCTGCTGCTAGGTGGTAGGGGTGCGGAAGGCGTGGGCGACAACTCACCGCTCGACCTCTTTAGTGGCAGCGTCAGTGTAGAGGTCTCCAATACCGGCATCGATATGATCGGGCGCGCATTCGAGCCGGGATTTGGTGGTGGTAATGCTGGTGCAGTTGCAACTCCCACTGGTGGCTGTGGCGCCCAACGTGTGGGTTGCACCGCATCCACCGATTTACCTTTGACCAATGGTGGTGGTGGCGCAGAGCGTTGTGGTACACCTCCATTCAATGTTGCTGTGTCCTGCACTGTGGGCTGTACATAAGCCACATTGGGTGCATTAAAGTTGTTGGTCGGTGAAGTGTTATCATTGAGAGGGCGGAGGGTAAAGCCTTTGAATTTGCCAAACATACCATTGCCAACAGAAGTATCATTCGAGTCGCTGGGGGATTTCAGCAAAGCAGAATTCATATCGTCCGTACTGCTGGGTGTAGATTTGGGCAGACTGTGTCCGCCGCTGCCACCGACACCACCACCATGAGGACCGTGATCAGGGCGAGCGGGTGCTTGCTTGGCGCTGGCCGCTTTGATACTGAAACAAGAGAACAAAGCGACAAAAGTAATAAGTGATGGAAATAACAAGGTTTCATATATCAGTGAGATAGATAATATTGGGAGATGAATATAAAAATCTTTATATTTTGTATAATGGTATATTTGTTGGTTATGTTAGTACATATTTACAATTGGCAATTATATTAGAGTTTCTCAAGTTATTGTTTATTATAACTTCTATACTTTACTTATTATATAAGTTAGTACAAGGCAATTAATTGTTAGTCTAAAATAAAAATAAAAAAAAATGTTATACATATATAGAAAATACACATACCACAGCCAATTGTAAAAATCATCGCAAAAGTGTACAGTGTCAACGAAAAGTGTGTTTGTATGTTAACCAACACCACAGCCAATTTGCTTTTAACAAAAAATGCTACAGTCATGCAATCTAAGAAATGTTATTTAGGACACTCACAATAAGGATAAGCTTGTCGGACATAAAAGTTTGAAAAATAGCAATATGAATTGATGCCACATCACATTTTATTTAAAGCTACATATACATATACATATACTTAAAAGTTATGCTTAAATTCACAGACAAATTTTATAGACATAAAATAAATATTAATAAAGTAATAGAAAATAATTTTATAAAATTAAGGCAGATTCAGAAGTTTAATAAGTAGAAAATAATAGAAATGCATTTTCAAAGTGAGCTTTAATCATCTCTGTTTGACTGACACAAAATGCACCTTAAGTTTTTTAAATTATATTCTGATTGCGACCATTGTTTTTGGTCTATTAATTGACCTATTTTAACTATATTGTCGAAGGAATCGTTGTAGAGATATTCCAAAAAAAAAAAAAATATATTAATATACTTTACGCCACATGCTAAAATAAATGCTTAGATTTCTTGAAAAGTAAAAGTATAATTAATTTTTCAGATTTAAACAATTTTCCGGAGCTTGAAAGAAATAAGAAAGAAAGGTCAGTAAATTTTAAAAACCTAAAATAATTTCGCAAATAATTAATGTAAGGAATTGAATAGCTCATGCGAATATTACGGTTTTCAAGCGGAGAGTGTTCAGCTGCAAAGCAGCAACAGCAACCAATTTGTTTTTTCTTTTTGTCAGCAATTTCAATATGTTTATTTACACAAACAACTCTGTGCCGACAAGGGCGGTAGATTTCACAAAATTTTAATAACCGTTCAATGCGCTGCAAATTTAATTTTGAGGTTATGTTTTTGAAGTAAAAGAATAACATCAAAATGTTCAGTTTAAATGCTGACTGCAACAGTTATTCTATATCGGCACAGAAAATTGCAAATAATTGCGTATTTATCAACAACTTTTCTTTCCTGCAATTAACGCCAGCGAATGGCTAAAATCTTGTTTAGTTGGTTTTTTGGTATTGGCTACTTAAATTTTGGACACACCTATTACGATCACTGGCTATAAACTGTGCGCCGTCGCATAGCGCATGCGGATTTGTCGTTGCTTGCAAGCGTATATCGGTAATTTCTAGCTTGCGACGCATAGTGTTAGTCTGACCGTTAACGAGGGAGTTACTATTTGAGCTATCGGCATCCATAAGGTGATGTTGATTTGCTCTCATCGGGAGTTTGTGGGTTGTTGGTGTTTTCAGTTTACGTTTTAGTGTGGTTGTTGGTGTGGTTGCAGAAGCATTGCTAGCTGGTACGTTTGGTATTTTGGTTGGTGTTGCTGCCGATTTGGTTTTGCTTAGACTATTTTGTGTGAAATTCTTTTTAATCTCCGCCACCGATACGATTTTATTATTGGATTTAATGCTATTGAAATCTTCATTAGTTCTACTCTTAGATAAATACAAATTGTTATGGATGCGCGCTAGATTATTAGTGGATGCACTTTGACTGATTAGTTTTTGACTTTCTGTTATTGTAGTTGTTGTGTTCGTGCTAGTGTACGGTTTCGCTTGTGTGCTTGTGTTGAATGTGTTTGAGTGTTTGAGTTGGTTCCGTTTAGCACAGGAGCCTAGTGTTGTGCCTTTTAGTTTTTTAGTTGCGCTCGCAGACGATATACAAGATGCAGTTGAAGTAGAAGATAAGTTAGAAGAAGTATTGGAAGAATGGGAGGAAGTAGTTGTATTGCTAGTGGAAGTGGTAAATGAGCACACCGACTTGTGCGGCGTGGATACATACATATTTTCAGCCAGCTTGCCGCCAATGAAGAAGCGTCGGTTGCGTATATAGTAAGAGAGCCAGATAATAAACACCATAAACGGTATCACGCCGAAGAAGAAGATATACATAAAGTTCTGGAAAGCTTGGTGACCTATTGAAACGAATAAATATAAATGTATGAGCACAAGTTATGAAAAATTAAGAGCTTGTACTTACTAGTAGGCGACGATGCTGGTCCACTGTTGATTGAACCGCCTGGTCCTGGCAGGCGACATGTTGCGCCCGTATAGCCCACATGACAGTGGCAATTGCCCAAACTATTGCATACACCATTGCCATTACAATTATCTGGGCACTGCTTGCCGAGTCCCGTGTCTCGTACACGCTCTATCGTTAGGCACTTTTGGTTGACACACATTTTGTCTTCGCCACATTTGGCGCCGTTGGGTGTAAGTCCGGGATCTGTGCTTTCTAGCCCCAAATCGACCAGTGCTGTGCGGCACGGCACTATATTGCCCTCATGATTGATGAACGAATGCGACAACATCGCTGCCGATTCCATGCCGAATTCCAGCCGTTCATTCAAATGGCGGCAATGCAACATGCCGCAACGTACGTGTTCATCCTCGCACCGTGTAAATAGTTTGTTGATACGATCGTAGCCGCAATTACCGCCACGCTTGCCTTCAACATTTTTGCTGTAGCAATGCTCTGAGCTCTCGCCAGTCGGTCCCCACAGTATACGACACTGTTGCGAGTGCGAACGGCAATTGCCTTGGAAGCAATAAGCCTGTCCACTGTCACACTCCTCGGTGTCACGTTTGAACACATCTGCTGGACAGTACTCCGACTCGCCGGTACAGTATTCGGGTAAATCACATTCGTTCTCGGCAACACGACACGCCTGTCCGGCCGCTTTGGGACGACATGTACTTAAGTCACAGCATTCACCAGTGGCACAAGACGCGTTTGTGTGCAGCATGCAAGTATACGGGTCGCAGCAGGTATTCTCACAGTAGTTGGGCAGCCCACAGTCGCACTGTTCGCCGGGCTCCACAAAACCGTTGCCGCATTGCGGTGACTCGAACAGCTTGGTGGGTTTATTGCGAAGGCAATAGTTCATGCCACGCGAGAAGGCTATATTTAGCTGGTCAATGCTACAACTGCTCCAATGCACCGGCACCACAGACGTGGACGAAGCGGACATTATGCATTTCTCATCCTGACACTTACAGTCGGACGAATCGTGCTCCATGCCAAAGTTGTGGCCCATTTCGTGCGCCATTGTGGTGGCCACAACGGCTACAACTTGGCTGTGCTCGTTCGAAACGCCGCCCGAGTACTCGTGCGTGCAAATGGGACCCTTCAACGCTTTGCCTGTATGCGAAACGAAAATTACTATATTTTTGTCCATATGTAGTGTCACTACAGTTGCAATTGTTAATTACCAACGACGCCGCCACTAAATTGCTCTTTGGTCAGCAACTGCGCATTATCATTAGGATGGTCCAGCACCAGTTTTGTTTCCCGATAGTTAAGGAATTTCCGTAGAGTGAGGTCCCCATCACTAGAAAACTCAATTTCATTGTACTCGTTCCAGATCACCACACCCACCAGAGCGACAAAGATATTCAAGGGTACGTATAACTTGAGGGAAAGTAGAAAGAAAAAATATAGCCCAGTGCATTCAGTTTAAAAAAGTATTTCAGTAGTTTCAGTATTTAGCAGAATTTCAGAATTGTTTTAAGAAGCAACATGGTAGTAATTAAATATTAAAAAATGGGCGGAAGGGCATTCATCTAATAAATTTGAAATATAAAATTTACCTGAGTTATTCTGTGGTTAACGATGTATCGTCTAGAATCTGTTACTGGGGAACACTTTGTTTTAATAAAAAGTAAAAATTTTAAGCGGAAAAAAGTTCCGTACATTTTAAATTTGCCCTCTCGATCTGAACATATTTTGACTTTTTTAAATCAAATTTACTAGTTTTTGACCGGAAAGTTTGAGCTACGGTTTAGATAAAAGGTACGCCCACTATGGTTCTTGTGCTTAATTATTATTCGAAAGTAGCTATGACTTTTATATATAAGATTCCAATAGTTTTAATTGCCAAGTATTTTGAAATCAGTATCAAGCCTTTGAAAAGGATAATGATTCTATTAAATGTTCTATAAGGCTATGATAAATTATATTGCCTTCTAAAACTGTCTAACCTCAAAAATGATTTCATTGGGAGATAATTTTATATAATCATTTATGTTTGAAGAGTTTCGAGCTGTTAAATTTTCAGGGGGGAAAAAAATTGTATGCCATACTTAATATGAACTAACGGCATCAGTACCGCCATATTCATTTCACCAGTCTCTGAAATTTGGTCAACTTACCGCATTGATTATATTAGCTAAGTCCTTGCAATGTTGATGTACTTTCTTCGAGTTCTCCCCAAATGATTTATACAATTTATTGTCAACCACAATAACAAGTTCAACATAGGATGAGTGTTTATTGGCATTGTAGGGACCACGTATCACATCGTTATTCTCATAGGATCTTTTATACTGCAATTGAATTGTATAATAGACAAAAGTATATAGAAATTATTTTAAAATCGCCCAGTAAATGACATTCACCCTTAAAATGCGATTGTATTCCGAACCGTCTAGGTGCACTGGTGCTTTTGGCAACTCGTCGCCCTTTCGCTGCAAATCCTCAGACTTCCCGAAAGGACTATGTGCGTGGTTGTCGGTGGTGCTGTCGTAACCACAGGTTGCGTTTTTATTCAACAAATCGGCATGCCTATAAAATAAGAAGCGAAACAGTCGTTGCCAATTTTAAACAAATTTAAGTGTACATTTACATATTTCTACAAGCCACAAATTAGCCATCAAATGTAGCTTACTGCTTTTGCAAATATTGTATACCCTAACGGAAGTGCGAACGGAAGAAAGCAAAGAAGATATGTTAGTGTGTAATTTATACGCAAACACGCACCGCCTTAAACAGACATACCAACATGCAGTAATTGTAGACACTTTTGTTTTATTCAAGACCATCGGCCGTGGCTCTGTGTGGGCGTGTAGCGACATGGGTTAAAGTGGCTAAAATAGCAGCGGTTTATTTGCCGGCATGCGTTGAGCAAATATTGACTTAAAACGTGGCCACACACAAAAGTCAATTTGCTCGCTTGTTGGACAGGCTATCAAATTTAAAATAGGCAAACAAGCCGGTAGCTGTCCGCTAATGGATAGTGAATACATTCTGACTTTATTAAAATACCTTAAAAATATTCGATGAAAATTTAAAGTAAATCCGACAAATACTTTGCGAGTTATCAAAGATAAGCAAAGATAAAATGGCAATGGGAACGGTGAGCGCAAAACAATTAACTTTTGGATTTCCACGAAAATTTGGAAAAAAAACTTTCCTAGGGCCACCATTTTGTTAATAAAAAAAAAGAAAAGAAATGATTCCATCAGGTACACACATCTATTTTTTTTCAATTGATTTTACTTCGGTTGCAACTGGATCAACACAAACAGCCATTACTTATAAAATTACTAATTGCCTTTTTCAAATCTCATTTAATGATGCTATGTTTTTACTTTCACAAAGAAAAGCAATCTACTGGCAAAAATTTTTTTTAAAATTGTCATTATTTCAACCCCATATAGTAAAATGAGATTTGTTAATCGATCAAGCCATTATTATTATTAACGCGTTTTGTTAATTTAAAATTATAATGATGTAATTATCCTAAAAATCAAACCTCATTTACATGCTCACATATACATATGTACATATGTATGTAGTTTAAACATTATCCATATTTGAGTTATTGAATTTGACAGCGGAAGTTGAAAATGGTCATCTCGTAAATACTACCATCAAGTTTGAATTGATTAAAAAGCAAAATAGGTTGCGAAACTCAGGGCGAAATTGTTTGAAACTGAGAAGTTGTTTAAGGAAATGATTGGTTAGTGACAAAAGCTACTAGAACATTCTTTTGAACCGATTCGAGTCTACTGGTATCAAAATTTTAATTCTAAAGGCCGCCGTAATCCAAACAGTTTATACAAAACTTACCGAAATAAAAAATGATCATCCTGCAATCGCCCATCACTACCGGAGTGTATGAAATATGTGTCCTTGCCATCGTAAACCAAACCATTGACAGCACCGCCATTACAAGTGGATATGGCAACATTGGAAAACGGCTTGCCGTGAATGGTGCCCTAGGACATTAAAGAATAAATTAATGCATTTCATTAGAAATCGATATTCAGCAGAAGAAATCGAAAAATAAAAAAATCTAAAATATTTAACAACAACATTTTTATTGTAAGCACAACTCACCTGGTAATGACATAATTCCATTTCAGTCTTTGTGAAATTTTTGACTACACGCCCTGTTGGCGAAGTCGAATTCTGATAACGGAGGAAATGCTTGGCTGGCAGTAACTCATCGTTGCGATGCAGGTCTATGTATACGTGTTGACCTTCATGCTGGTACGTGAGCGTTATGTGCGGAACATGTTGACCGTCCTTGAAAGTAAAATAATAATTTGTAAGAAAAATATGATTAAGAGGAGTTGCAAATAATTTGATATTTTTATAAATGAATGAGTATGTGTTATTAATAAATTCAAATTTGTTCTCTTTACTCTCTCGGAATTTCATATTCATCTAATTAGAAATAAATCATTTGCAATTCACACAAAGTATTTTAAATTGTCGTTTCATATTTGCATTCCATTCAATAACTGTTCTTTGGTGGATTGTAAGCAAGATGCCGCACCCACGTAATTAATTTGCCAATAAGACTAATTTACCAATCCATATACATAGGAGTGGTATAAAATATAAAATATAGGGGACCACCGACAACCATTAGCCACTTGGATACCCAATGACTGCCTTCAACCTATTAAACGCTTAATAATTGTCCGGCGGTCGATCGCATTACCGCAGACAAATTTAATTTTAACATGCAAATTGTGGGAGTTTCGCAATTTCCCTGAATGAAATATTTGAAATTCATATTTCAGCTCAGAAATGCACATCCTTGTGCAGAAAGGAAAAAGGACACAGACCAACCTTGAACCCTCTCATTTGAAATGTGTGTGTGCAGTGGCTCGTGCGAAATTTTCCCATCGCTGACATCACCATACAAGAAACAGATGACAGCTTGCTTCCGAGTGTTGTAAGTGATAGATGTGGCTTTTGGTGAGGGGATATTGAAAGGTACGCCTAGACTGTGCAGGCTTTATGTAATGTGAGCGGCAGCTCTTTAAGCCGCTAAAATATCGTTAGATAGAGTTAGCATATGTGTCGCATTTAAGTATATAGAATATGTACGATTTTTATGTGCAAATTTGCTATGTAATTGCGAGTAACAATGTTTAGTCTGGTGGACTTTCACACAGTCGTATTTTAAACCGTTTGCTTATGAAGCAATATGAAAACCCCGACCATATGTATAGCTGATTTATGTAATGCTCCGTTATGTGGTGTACATATTGAAATCGTACAAATAATTCCTTCAACAAACATGTGATAGATGTAAAGAGTGACCAAAGCAGGCTTTTTCGCTTTCGTGAATATTCTTGATATCTCTGAGACCTTATAAGCTAGCATTTAAAGGTTTCGCGTTTCAACTTCTGGCTGGTATTATAACTATAATTATCGCCACGGATTCTACTTATTATTTTGTTGTAGTAGTTTTCCAAGTTTCTTCACATATTTATAACATTTTACTCACCTTTGCATCCAATGTGCTTCGCAAGGCGCGTTTATGTCGCCCATGCAGAATTTGAGGGCGTATCACGGAATGACTTGAGAACTCTTTAAGGTCAGGAAAAAAATCACCAGTCTGTGGATATGATGAATGTGCTGGAAAAGATAATAAAAAATAGAAATGAGAAGAATGAATAATAACAGGGAATTAGGTAATTTATTGAAAGAAAAGTGTGAAGCTCTATAGACTGAGAACAACCGGCAATTCTGAGGGAAAAAAGTAAAAGTATAAAACTATACAATAACAACAATAATCCCGAAATGGTTGCTCCAAAAGTGTTAATGACAGCACGACGGACGCGGGCGGCGCAAAACCAAATTAACGAAAATTTAGAAATGTAATGATATTTTAAATGCTTAAAACAACAACAAAATGCTGGAGAAAATATTTATACACATGCAGCCAAGGTGGAAGAATGCGTGTGCCAGAACATCAACCAGCAACATAATCCATTAACAAGGAAACGAACCAAAGTATATGTTAGCCATAAATTTTTAAACGCTTATGTGTGTGTGTGTGAAACTCATACAAATGCATATGTAGGCTTTTGAGGATGCACAAGCTGGTGTGCAACGCGAAGCATTGACATTGACAGACGTTAGTAGTCCAGATTTATGTAATAGCCAACAAGCTGTGACACCGTGTCGAGTGGAAGGAAGATGAGTGGGCGAGTAAGGGTGTGTGCGGTTGTGTATGTGCGCATTGGGAACTAGGTAAGACGCCCGCTGCATCAATCCGTGATAATTGAACATGAGAAACTGTGGTTAGTCTCTAATTACGTGGAATTAGATGACAGCACAAGGTGCGTGGCAACTGCGATACGCCACCGAGCCAAAGACGAGTGCCTTTGTATGAGACGGTTGGCAGCTGGGCCCAACGACATGATCAACTGCCTTAACCCTTGGCGGACAAGCATGTAATTATAAGCTCTGAGCATGAGCACCGATGCGCAGGCAGAGATAAGATATGCTAACAAGCCGTCTACTATTTCAGCCTATAAAGTGGTTGCTGTTTTCGTCGTTACGGGTTACGGTGGTTTGGTAGACACTGTAAGTACATACAGACCTGCACATATACCACATATGTAGGAATATTTGTAAATGATTTGCGGTAATTACGAATAATGAGTGAATTAAACAGTAATCTACTGATGATAATCATTGCTCTATTATGAGGCGAGACGAGTTTTGGAAGAGCTGTCATCAGAACACAGATGCCGCAATAAGTGTTCAGTAACTATAATAATGAGACAGTATAGGTATATATGTACATATCTCATTAGTATGAGCTTACATCAGCGCGAATTTGTCGACACGAAGCCGTAAACAACGAAAATACAATAACAGATACAAAGAGAGATTTTAACAAATTGAGCTGGAAAAGTTTTGATTGCGTTGACAGCCAAAGTGACTGGTATTTGCACACAAAACAAAAATATCAAGCGAAGTTCTCTCAAAAAATGTATTTAATATTTGATGACCTTTGCAGAAGCAAGCGGAGGGCATAAACTTGAAAACTAAATTTATATATGTATGTATGTATATATATGTTACATATGAAATAAGCAAACAATTTCATTTAAGCACAGATATATTTAAAATATATAAATAGCGAAGTAACAGAAAACCAGATGATACGAACAAAGAAATTAAAAGAAGTTTACGAAATAAACTAAAAATATTAAAAAAAAATAAATTTATTATTTATTAGTGAAGTCATAACTAGTAAACTCACCATTATAACGCAATTTTGTTGCGCTCTTTGGTTTAAGAAATGCTTCCCTTCGCGCCAAAAAACCAAAACAAAAAACACATTGAAGTCCTCTGATTTCGAGTAGCCTTCATGCTATTCGTTTTCTATAATCAATTATATTTTATTTCAAGCATAAAGTTGTTAAAATCTATAAAAAAAAGTTTGGTTTTTAAATTTTTAACAGTATGAATGATTTCAATTATTTCGAAGTCCTTCTTTTTCAAGTCAAAACAACTGTCTGCAGCAAATAAAATTTGTTTTTAATTGATCTTGATTATTTCCCATAAAATTGAGTATAATTATAACCGGTTCAATATTCTAGCTTTTATCCCTAAGAAGTAGCAAAATTATGTATAAATATATGAGCAAATTTATAAAGCTTTTATTAAAATGATAATTATTAATCAAATTTCGCACGTTAGGTTAGGTAATAAGATTGATATTCAGCCATAAACGTCAGTTCATTGTGATCAAAAGACCTTCGCATATCGACAAAGGCCTTAGCCTGACACAAATTTATTGAAGTGGCAAATATTAATTTTAGCCAATTTTCCAGGCTTGCAGAAAGTATGACTACCGAGATGCTTCAAGTTTATTCTAGTAAAAGTTGGACAGCAGTCTACTGGTACTCCTGCTTGAGAAATACTACAGTGGTGTGCTGATCTGAAGCAAAACTTAATGGAGAGCTCTTGACAGAAAACTTTCTTGTGGGTACGAACGCAGTTTTCAAATTACTTAAGTATGTGAATTCAGTTTTAAGAAAAAGGCATTTCATTTCGAAATCACATTAAAAAAATATGTAATCGATTTCAGGAACACGTAAATTCGATTTTCAAACCGAATCACTTCGCTTGTATGTGAAAGTGAAATACAGAACATAGCCGACTATCGAATTCCACTCGCCAATTTTCTTGTTGCTTTTACATGTAAATTTTTGATCAGCGGCCGAATATACATAGCTCAAATAAGATACATGATAATTATATTCAAGACAAATCGAAGAGATCTCAAAAATAGACCTATAACTTTCTGAAAGAAATGAGTATATTCTCCAATTATAGGCCTCGGTTAATGCTCCTTCTTTTCCAAAGTATACGCTCTTTCATTCTTTCACGACGAAAATTCGCGACGAAATTTTGTCAACATGTTTCAAGAGAAAGTCATACAGTGCAAAGAACTTTTCGTCCACGAAAAAATAATCCTCTTTAGAAGCATTTTGTAATGATTTACCTAGGCCACGCAGTACACACACTAAAGTGACAAGGTTTAAAAATAAATCTCCAAGTTTTTATAAACTTTTCAAGGGAATTATATATGAGTGAGATGGATTTTAAATGCGCCTGGTTTGATAGACGACGAAGAAAAATAAGAAGAAGAGAAGCGCGTGGCAAACATAGCGAATAGGCACAGTTTCGCCCCACTTTCGATTAATTTCATGGCTACAACAATGAAGCAAAACTGATTAACTTCATGAAATATAAAGAGAGAAAGAGTCTTCGTAGAACATAAATGACGGCGCATAGACACATTCACACCCATATTTATGTGTGTATATAAAATGTGTCTACTCTTCGTAAATCTGCCGTGAAATGTTGAAAATATATTTGGACACATATTTTGTGTCGATTCAAAGGTGTTTCAGGCCCCCCTCCCCAATATGGGATGCTGCTGGCGTTGGTGATGAATGTAAATTTGGGCGTGTGGTATGATTTTGATTTTGCGCTCGAAATAATCTAACCAAGGCAAATCATTTTCAATTACTTATGCACTCGCTAAAGACCAAAGCTGACATGCAGATTTGTTATGAAAATCAAAATGTGAAAAGAGTTTACGCACTTAATTTAAGTAAATATCAATGACATGTTTGCACTCAAAGTTTTATCTAAAAAAAACCGGAAAACGGAACTTTTCTTGACATTGGCTGATGTATACCTAGTTTCTTCAATTTATTAATAGTTATTTATTTAGCAGTCCGATTATCAATGAACTCGCTATAGTAAATATTAAATATATTATAAGTTTTACCTTTATATTATTAGATGAAAGGTGATTACGTCTGTCACTTAAGAACCCTTCGGTTATGTACTGTAATTTAAGGATTGCGATCAATCTTTGCATAAATTGCGACAAATTAAGGATGAGTCTCCGATCAGTCGCAAAGGAACATATGACTAATGGCATATTTGATCTTTTTATAAGGAACGAACTATTCCCATTAGTTTAAGCATGTCGTATGAAGACTCAGGCGAAAATCGTACAAAAGAGTAATTTCTTGCATCGTTGGTCTTGAACAAAAATGTTGCCAAATATTTAACTATATTATCTTCAATTATAAGAAAGATATTAGTTGGGAATTGATTGATACCATATTGTATCTAAAAATATGTGTTGAAAACTAATTCATTCCAAATTGTTAAAAATTACTGGCACAACTTGTTATGGATATGCATATGCATATGCTATTTTTCCTCGCGTGGCATATGAAAGTAATTTAAAAATGCATATAGCATATTGAGAACACAATATATACATATACCTTTACATATGTAGAAGATAAAAAAACACATGTATGTAAATAGTTCACATCTTGCTGGCAACACAGTTTCATTAAACAGCTTTCCTCCACGTAACGGCATATATTGTGAATCCAAGAGCAGCTCAAGGACGTCTGCATATGTGTGCATATATATATAGCTACATATTTATAAAAGAACAAGCAAAAGTATATTATGATGTGCAATTTGACGGAAAACAGAATTTACGAAGAATGCAATATTATAAAAACCAATAAAATCAAGAGTAAAATGTAAATGTGGCAAGGGTAAACAACGAGGTAAATAAATTAAATACCAACAAGGCTGGAGTGCGATATCCTAGTGAAGTAAACAAGATGTGCCTTCAAAAAATGCAACCATTAGAAGCGTTCCGCTATTCATTCAGCGCAAGCGTATGTATGTATTAACCGAGAGTGACCCCTAACCGCAATGAAATCATCCCTGCACTTATCATAAGTAATTAACACACATGTATGCAGATATGTGTAACGCAGTAGGCGCCGTGGCGCACATACAACTCGTTCATTGTGGCGCTGACAGCCCCGACCGAGTACGATGACGCCACGAAAATCAATATTTGAAAAAGATGACACTGCATTGAAGGCAGTAAATATTTCGACATAAGATGACAAAAAAAGAAAATATCATGCACACATACATACATATGTAGTGACACATGTGGGCGATAGGCGCTGACACCGCTTGCAACATGAGTCGTTTTCATACTATGAGTGTCGAATGACAACAAAGCGCTGGCAATTAAAACTGGATCAGCAGCCCAGCAGGAG